ATCCTCCATTCAGCTCTCACAGCAGCACTGGGAGTTGCTCATAGTATAATCTCAAAGATTATCCTAAGAAAGCTGGGAAGTGTCCTGACCCTGCAGAGTGCACACCTGTGCAATACCCTCCCACCCCAGGTGTGAGAGGGACCTGAGATGGGAGCCACTCCTGTGGTGAGGATATGCTCTGTGCAATATAAAAGCTGGATTTAAATGTTGGGGTGGGGGAAGGGGAGGGGGAGAGGAAAGAAAGAGAGGAAGAAGAGAAGGAGGAGGGTGGGACAGAAGGAGAAGGATGTTCTTGGGTAGCTTCTACCTAACCAGAGGTCTAGAGGTCAGAGACAGAAGCAGGAGAGACATCCCTGCTGACCTAAAGGAAGCAATTGCAATTGCTGTGTTGATGGAATGCTGTGTGGTAAGTTAGGAGGTAGCCTTTGGGACCAGGCCTGTAAGAACTTGAGCTGTACCACTCACCATTGAGACGTAGGAGAGGCAAAGGACCAAAAGCAGTGTCCTCTGGCTTCTGCTTGCATGCCAACTGTTCCCACTCTGGGGGCCAATCAGAAGCCAGCTTCCTGGCCAGGGGTTGGTTCCTGACTCAAATTGGACCAACTAGGGTCCTTGCAGAGAAAAGGCCTAAGGCTTCTGAGGTTATTGGCTCAGAGTGTGGTCCCAGTATATACCCTAGTCATCACATCCCTACTTAATTCTCATCTCACTAAGCACTTCCTCCCTCCCTCCCTCCCTCCCTCCTTTTCTTGTCTCCCTCCCTCCCCCCCTCTCTTCAAGGCTTATGGAACTGAGCATACTCTCACCTCCCTTACTTCATTCACTCTGCTTACCCCTGGGCAGCCAGGCCCAGCCTAGGCCAGGGCAGTTTTGGGAAGGTGCTGGGAGGTGGCTGAATGTGAACCTTCCGGGTTCTCTCTAAACTGGTGCCCCAGGCCTGAGAAACAGTGCCGGTAGCTGTTTGTCTGTCCAGTGTCTGTGGTCCCCTTTCAGGTCTAGGGATCCCAGGTGGCAGCTGCCTTGGAGAAGCAGGAGTGGAGCTAGTGTCATTGTTCCCATCCTGACTCCGGCCCCAGCCCCGTGGGAGGAGCAGGGGCTGAGGGGATGACAGGACCAGCTCCCTGATGGACTGAGAAAAGCTGCCTCCCTGGAAAGTTTCCCCAGACACCTGCACTGCTGCTACTGCAGGCTGAGCCTGGGCCTGCCCAAGGGAACTGCAGAGGACATTGTCTGTGGAGCAGGGCACCCACGCAGCTGCTACCTGCCACCTTCTCTTCATTCCCCTGTGACCTTTGCAAGGTCAGCAACACTGCGGGGGGTGGGGGGGATTCTGCTTCTATGGGGAAGGGAGTCCCCTGCCTTCTCCACACCGAGGAGGAAGGAAGGCGGAAGGTTGGGGATGAGCAATCAGGGATGGGAAGAGGGAGGACTCTGTCCACCGTGCATGCAGTGCCGAATGCCTGGTCAGGGCCTTTCCCTAGTGTCACTATCGGTGGCCTGTCTTTGTGATCTAGACAAATAAGGCCCTGCGTCCCTGTATGCCTGGGCCTGGGCAGGGCTTTTGTCAGACTGTGAGCCTGAGGTGACCGCACTGAGACGCAGTGGCCTCCCCCGGGATATGGGGAGAAGACCAAGTGTGAGACCAATGGTGCTTCCTGGCCCCCAGCATCCCTCGCCACATTCACGTCCCTGGTCCTTAGAGCCCCTGAGAACACTACTTGCCCCAGCCCTGTGGGGTGTGCCTTTCCACTACACCCCCACTCTTGAAAGCCTCTGGGATAGTCTGGCTTGCAGACCACTGTAGCCCCGTCTCATATTGACCCCCGTGACCATCCTGGGGCTCAAGACTTGCAGTACAGGAACCTGATTAATTTTGTTCATTGCATTTTCCAAGCATGTGTGATTGTGGGATGTACTTGATCCCATGATAGCCATGAAACAGATTTGGGAAATCATCTGCCCAGGCAAGAGGCTGAAGTTAAAACAGGGACCCACTCCTGTACCTGCTGTGGATTTGAGCCATCTTTGCTCAAGCTGACAGATAACCCTTGGGCCACTGGTTCCAGTGCAAAGACCAGTGCACTAGTCACACTTGGTAGGGGTGTGGTCTCCCAGCTGTCAGGTCACCCATCAGGCCCTGGACCTTGCCACAGCCTTTTCTGTGTGTGGGAATATGGGACAGAATTCCACAACACATTCTAGAACTTCCTGACAGTTTGGTTTGGGCATTGCTGATGGATAACCCCAGGAGCCTTCTAATAAGTCTGAAGGGGAAGAGACCAGACAGCCAACAGACACAAGGGTTGAGTCCCCACAGTTTATTATGGAAGCCAATAAAAGAGCCACATTGAGTATTTCACAAAATGAATGACATTCATTGTTGTAATATGCATCATGGAATATTATATACACATCAAAACCACACGACAGCCAAACACACACAGCACCAGCTCATACCAAAACGAAACACACAAGTGCTTTCTCAATATTAAAACAACTGTGATAAAAACATATTAATATTTTGAACCATGTTTACAATAAAGAACAATTCATATTTTACTAAATAACAAATATTTAACAGCAAAAACTTTATACTAAATATCTATTTTGAATTATAACAAAAATAGTACTTATAATAGTTTATAAAGACAGACACAAAATTATAACATTTATGAAAAAAAAGTTTTGTGTATAAAATAATAGAAATCCAGGCAGGATCAAAATGGTTGCCCAGAACGCACATGCCAGCGCCTAATTTTGAAAGTGCTTCAATCTGCAAAAGCCCGTGGCAGGAAGTTTTGTGGGGTTTAATTTTTTAATGTCAAGTTACAATAGTTAGGAATGTGAGAATACATCACCCATTAATGCTACCACAATGAAACACACCAACACAGAACAGAGGCATCTACTAAGGTGAGAAATGTGTCCCCACAGGCGCCTGGGCCCCTTTGCCTCTTACCTTTGAGACCCATCCAGGCAGATTCATCTTTTCTTCCTCCCACGCTCACAGGGATCCCCCTCAGCTTTTCCTTCTGCACAACTCCTGGGCTGGCCCCTCACAAGGACAGGCCCCTGAAGCCTGTCGGGGCCCTCCAGTCCCCCTGCCCCTCACCAAGGCCAGAGTTACTACATGCCACATCTTCAGTCTGAAACAGATGGTTGCAGGCAAGGAGAATTAGCATGCAGGGATTCAACCTTCCAGACTCTGAAGGTTGTAGAGCAGCATGCACCTATTCCTTCTGTAAGCCTTGAAGAGTCTTTACACATCTCGGTCTGTTTCAGAACTGGGAAAGGAAATCGAGGAATACACTTATTTTTAATTTCACATTAATTTTGCCGCTAACATCTGTTCTAATGCTCTTGTTTGTTTCGGTTCTGTCAGGAAAATGCAGGAGACCATCGAAATGTTTGGGAAGCACAGCTCATATAGGACATCTTCCTGTGTGGCTAGTGAGATGGCTGAACTTCCAAGACAGTGACCATCTAGGGTCGGGTTGGTGTGGGCTGCCATTCTGTGTTTTTGTGAAGAGGGCCCATTGCCTCCCTAACATCAAAAAGCGGTGGATGGGAAACAAAAGCAAACAGGAAAACAGACAAAATTGCCTACAGACTCCCCAGAGCCCCACACCCTTCCCAGGAAGCGTGTCCCTAGTGGCCAGGCCTCAAAATGCCAGAGGCAGGAGCCCTGCCCCTTCCAGCCAGCCACCCCGACTGGCCCTTGGGCACCTGAATCTCTTCTAACCTTACTTCTATCTGTCCTTTCTCCATCCTCCTCCTCTCCTCCTCCACAGCTTTCTGGCTGCAGCCTCCCCCCTCCCCTCCCCCCAGTGTCTCAGGACCCGACAGGGAGGGCCTGAGGCTTCTCAGAGGGAGAGCTCTCTCTACCTAGCCTCTCTGCTTTCATCTCTGCTTCAACCCTGAGCTGGGCTTAGGTGGTGGCTGGGGCTGGGAATGGGGGTGGGTGCAGGATAGGGAACTCTCCCAAGAGCAAAGGGGCAAAGAGTCAGGGTTAAGGAAGGGAAGACAAGAAGTCCCTTCAGAAGAACCCGTATCCTTACACATCCCCCTCACTAGGGGAGTGGCTGGAGCAGGGGCAGGCAGGGAGCACACAGAGAGTGGTAGGCCCTATGCCTACCACAAGCCCAGGGCTTTGACAGACAGACGGCGGAGGTGATCCACCTGGAGGTGATGCTGAGGTGACACTGAACATTTGCCTGGAGCCAAAGAGAGCTGTTAACCCTCTCCAGGGAGCTGGGTTAGATCAAAAACCTGTCTTCTTGCTTCATATAAGCCCTGAAAAGGATAGCTAGGACAGAGGCTGGCAGGTGTGTGCTCCAGAGCTCAGGGTAGCCAAGGTCAGTGAATAAATATGGGCTAAGGGGCAGGGGTGGGCTGAGAGTCCAGCTATAGCCAAAAGCCACCTGGCTCAGCAGATCCCATGGGGGAGGAGTGACATTGTGCCTCCCAGGGCCACCAAGGAAGATGCTGGGGATTGAGCCTATAGGCTCCTGTACCCCAAGGTCAGATAGAGAACAAATAGCAGCAATAGGTAATTTCCAATGTCCAAACTGGTTAGGCTGGCACAGAGCACCCTCCCATCAAGGCGGGTGGCAGTTCCTGCCCTGCCCAAGTTGGCTTAGGTGAGAATCCCCAAGATGCTCTTCTGGACACTGAGCAGTGACAGGAGGTGTGTGTGTGGGGGGTACAGGGTGCCAGAGAATGCTCCACGGGCCCCCTCTTTTCTTCCCTCCTGCCTTCACCACCATCAGACCACGAACAAAAAGACAAAGGGGTAAGGGGAGGGATCATTCAGAAGGTAATAAGCACATTCCCCAGCTCAGCGACTGGAGCTAACACTGTCACTGGCACACAGGGCCCCGTCCTGGCCCTGGCCCTGGCCCAGGAGAAGCTAGGGGGCAGTGGCGATCCATGAGAACAGGGAGTCTGGAGGGGGCAGGGCCCTTGTGTGTTTGGGAAGGGGAAGCCGAGAAGAGGCCAGAGAAGGACAGCATGGGGGGGGCTGCTGGCCTCCCATCCAGCCCCTCCCCACCCCACAGGTCTCTGTCTCTGTCCCCCACCCCTCGGCTGGGCTGGGCTGAGACCAGAGTGAGGCTACACTGTCGCACTCAGCATGGCCTCTGTCTCAGGCAGAATCTCATTCTGATTGGAGTCCAGACCAAAGAACTTGACACTGAGGCCATCCACAGGGTGCAGGACAGGGACTAGAGTGATGCCAGGGAAGGTCCGGGTGGCCAGCTCGAAGCGGCTGGTGCTGGCCAGCTCCACGGCAAGCACCTTCAGGAACAGCTTGGCCAGGTGCTTGCCCAGGCAGGTCCGCACACCACCGCCAAACGGGAGGTAATGGAAGCGGCCATCCTTGTCTTCGCTTCGTGCCTGGCTGAAGCGGTCAGGGTCAAACACGTTCACATCCTTGAAGACGGGTGCTGTGTCGTGGGTGTCTCGGATGCTATACATGACACTCCAGCCTTTAGGGATCTGGAAACCCTGGAGGGAGATGCAGCAGGGAGTAGGGTGGTGAGAGCCAGCAGAGGCCCACTGACCTGTCCTCATCCTCAGATGTTCAAGGACTGTCCCTGACCAAAGACACTCCCCCAGCACGGAAGTTCAAGTCTCCATATGGGCCACAAGCAGCATCCCATCCAGTGTGACACACAGGTTGGCTTCATTCACCTCTACTGAAAGCTACTAGAATCGGCACTGTTTTCTGCCCCCCCCCCCACTACCATACTGAAGACCCCAAGATGGCCATCTTCCCCCAGTGTTTAGTCAAAGCTCTAGCCACCCACTATCACCAGCACAGGAGCCCAGCCTCACATCCAGTTCGAAGGTCTGCAGCACAGTACGGTAGCCACCGGAGATGGGCGTGAACAGCCTCATGACCTCCTTGATAACGCAGTCCAGGTAGTGTAGGCCGCTAAGTGTGTCCAGGCGCAAGGTGCCCTCACAGGGACAGCCACCACCATGCAGCAGGCCCTGAGCCCGAAGTTCCTCCCTCAGCTTCTCCAGCACGGCGGGGTGTTTCAGCAGCTGCATGATCAAGGATGTGCTGGCACTGGCTGTGGTGGCATAGGCTGCAAAGATCAGCTCCAAGGTACCATCCTGCAGCAGCAGAGAGACAGGCATTCTGGGCTACTTGCGGCAGCCACATAGGGTGGACCTCCGAAGCTACCTTTCCCCAGAGCCTATCTTCACCAGGACCTACCTCCTGGCAGCCGCCAACACTTTTGCTCTGAGCTTCACTCTCAAAAGGCTCATGGAGGTCATAGCCTGACCCCCAGCTTAGTGGAAACACACTGCTATGACTCAGGGCAGAAGTACAGGCCTGCTGGCTCCAGAGCTTAAAATGGAGCCAGCACCGGCTGACCTGCTCAACCAATAAGCTCGTGGGAGAGAAAGGTCATGTTGCAGAGGCTCTGCAGTGTGTGTGTGTGTGTGTGTGTGTGTGTGTGTGTGTGTGTGTGTGTGATAGGTAACTAGGTATCCATGCCCCAGCTTCTTCCTCCATTACCACAAAAGGGATGCCTTTCAGGTGGTCAGATGGGCAGGCGTGCATAAAATAGAAGCAGCATAATGCAGAAGCCAGAAGGACCTAAGATGGGACTTCAGTTAAACCCAGAGCTCCCCTCCTCCCAATGCCTGGGTACTTGCTAATGAGGCATCTCCCCAGCTTCCTGGGGAAGTCTGTAGATAGCAGGGAATAGGGTGCAGAATGGTGGGGGCGACAAGCTCTTTCACATGTAAGAGCTCCCCAGACAGGGCCTACTGCAGGGCCAAGGGACTGAGGCCCAGCTGTGTCCAGGCAGTGGGGTAGAGCATGGCTGGAGAAGCTGTAAGAGGAGCGAGCCCATATTACAGTCAAAGCTCTCTGAGTCTGCAGCTGGCCTCCAGTTTGCATGGCTCTGGGCACACGTTTCCTCAGGACCATGTAATGAACTGAGAGAATAACCCAGGAATAGGCTCAATGGGAGGTGCCACAGGCCTCTGACAGCTGCTTTGTAGGCCTAAGTGTCACTGCTCAAAAACATCTTAAGAACGATAGAGATGGATATGGGTAGGATGGAGCTCATGGGGCCTGGCCACCCCAGGACATGGTACACATAATCCCAAGCCCAGAACAGCCCCAGGCATCCTTCAGAGCAAGGGCACAGATGCCACTCTGCTTCTGCCTCAGCACCACGGGGCCTGAGGCAGCTACTGCCACCACTGCTCAGAAAGGGAGAAGGGAGTTCCACGGCGCACATGGAATGCCCACCTTTAGCTCCTGCATGGTCATCTCCTTGCCATGTTCCTTGCTGCTCTCAATGAGAATGTCCAGGGCATCTGAGTAGTCCTTGCCTTGGGTACACTGCAGCTTCTCACGGATAGCCTTCTCGAGGCCCTTCTGAAGGATCTGCCGAGCTTGGATGCCCTAGGGGAGAGTGGACCATCAGCTCCTCTTGAAGGCAGGGGTGTTTCTAAGCCTCTGGAATATAGGAAAGGCTCCAGGCCCGTCCCATTGCTTTCCCCAGCTCTCATCTGTCTGTTCCCATGCCCTGTGCTCCCCCTCAGCCCGTCTGGCAGTGCATTCCCCTTGTAAAGGCAGTCTTGTGCCCTCCCTTCCCAGGTGGTGGGTACTCACCCTTCGGTAGCCACTGAAGGGAAGGTCCACAGGAAGAGAGAAGACATTGTCCACAAACTGCTGGTACACCTCAAAGAGGTGACCCAGGTCCTCCTCGGGGATGCTGAAGCCCAGGAGCACACGCACAGCCATTCGGAAGGTAAGTCGCTGGGCCTCTTGATATACATTGATGGCCTCCGGCTGGCTGCTCCAGGCCCGGAGTGTGTCCTGGATCACCAGCTGGATCTTGGGCAGGTAGCTCTCTAGTGCCTCATGGCTGAAGATCTTGGAGAAGACCTGAAGGAGGAGGCAGGTGGTAAGGAACTTGCGGTCAGGGGAAACACTGGCTGTCCACATCCCCCCTACTAAGCGCCCTGGGGGTGGCTCCAACCCAGCTCCCTTATGCAGTCCCCTACACTGAGCCATCACCTTACTGCCTGTGTCTGTGAGAGAGTGGGAGGCTCTCCAAGCCTTGGGGAACCACAGGGGCTGGGATGGGGCCATACAAAGGACTCTGCACCTCTGTTGAGGGACTATCAGAGTCCCTGGACCTCGGGCAGAAGTGTGAGGAGAGGAGGGACGCAAGTGTCTGATCATAGCACACTTGGGAAATAAGTATATGGCTCTCCTCTGCTCCATCGGCAGGCAGGATAGAGAAACTATTGCTAGGATTCTCTGGGGACCCAGACTGTATCATCCAAACATCTACTGTGTGGCTAGGCCTAGAGGCGATAGCATTCTATCCCAGGAGGTTGCAAAGGCAGAAGACCCTTTAATTCTAGCGTCTTCTAGGGCCATCCAGGGTCCCTGCTCTCATCTCCTGGCCTTGCACCCATCCTCTGGATTGACTGGGAAGTGCCTCCTCTCCACCCCAACATCAGCATGCTTTCACATTGCTACCCTCTAGCCAAGAGAGGGAGGGAGTCTGTTTATTTACTCACAGCCTGTGGGTCTACTTCTATCGCTAGACACAAGTCCAGAGCAGAAGTACCCCTAGAGCTTGGAAAAGAGGGACACTGAAGGAGAGGAAGCCCACCCGCCCGTTCGTGCGAAACCACACAAGCACACTGCCCTCCCGTCTGCCCCCCAAACACAACCACCACCGCACAAACTGTAAATGTGAGAATTTCCCCTGCAGTCAGCTCATGGAGGAAAAGGTAACATTTTCCTGGCTTGTGCCCTGCATGGCTAATGGGAGGGCTGGTTTGCAGAAATAACAGTGCTGGCCCTTCAGTGGCCCAGCTACTCTGCACAATAGCACTTTCATTCCCCAATTCCCAGTGGGCAGAGGGAGGGGAGGGAGGCCAGTGAGGGGCAGAGGGCCACACTGCCCAGGCCAGTTCCACCGCCAAGGGACAGCCTAGAGGAACAAGGGTGACAAAGGTCTTCTAGTTCACTCACACCTTGCCCGGTTTGGGGGGTTCTGGGGAATTTCCCGGCAGGGGTCTTCAGCCGCTACTTCTGGTCAGAGGGTTATAGAGGAAGACTGTATTGGTTTCCTGAGCCCCTGTGCTGGTGTTCTTAGAAGCAGGTTCAGCCTTCAGCCAAGGGGACTTGAAGGGGAGTCCAATCAGTGACTACTGATCAACAGAGGACTCCACAGGGAACAGAGCTCTGGGGGTTCACCGGGAAACAGTGTGGAGGCTGGGGGATAACTCACTGTAAGAGAACACGGACGCTGGCTGTGGGGTAGGAGGGGATAGCGAAGCCACACTGGCCGAGAACCAGCAAACTGGAAATGGAATAGAGTACGAAATGGCCCAGTGGAGATCTGGACACAAAGATGGCTTATACTGGAGAGACAGTGCAGAGGCCACTGTCACCAGAACCAGACAAAGTGAAGCAAGCCATCAGGAAACCGCAAGAAAATGACAAGGAAGGTCAAACGGAGTGGTGACCAGAGGCCTAACTTACAATAAGGGATTTGTCAACCAGCTCAAAGTGTGCCTGTGGTCATGATGCTAACTCCAAGCCTTTGGTTTCCTCATCCATAAGATGGTGAGAGACCTACCCAAGAGACATCTGGGATATTTTCAAGACACACAGCATCTTAGCACCTATTTCTACTTTCCCAAGAAGAACCCCTGCCCAGCAGGACAGTGCCATGACACTCCAGCCCTGTGGAGACAGCCTGGCACCCCACACTCACACCCACCACACCAAGGCCCTGGGAGACCCGCACAGGCTACCCCAATGGCTGATAGAAAAGCATTCTGAGAGGGCCCACTGGGATCATGAACAAGCCCCTTGTGCCCCTTAGGTTACAATCCCTGCGCCATCTAGCGACGGCTAACTGAATCTCTCCTCTGGCCTGAGGGGTCCAGGAGGGCAGGGACAACTCAGAGAGACGTGGATGGCCTGGAGCTAAGAACTCTAGAGCAGGGGTCCAAACTTGTCCCCAAGAGGGAAGGGGTCCTGAGAAAGGCCAGGAGCTATGGCCACTCTTCCCGGAGCTCTGAGGAGAGGAGTGAACGTCCAGGCTCTTGTCTCCCGGCTTGCTGCTCCTCTGGGTCTAGTTTCCCCATAGGTTTTACCAAGAGTCCATTTCCCCCCAGATGTTCCCCATTTCTCCTTGGAGGCTCTCCTCCTGCTCCCGTGTGAAGGGAGGGAAAAGCACAGGCATGAGAACCAAGCAAAGGCTGGTAGCAGGCACTCTAGCAGGAGCCTTTGCTCAGAGTCACCGAGTCCGTGGCCCTGCCTCTGGTTCAGCTGCTCTAGCCACACAGGGGCCTCCCAGGCTCTGGGAGGATGCCAAGTCCACATCTCTGGGTCTGTGCCCAGGGCTAACAAGGCGGGCACTTCCCAAAGCCAGGCAGCCCAGAAACCACCAGCCACCACTGAGGACAGGCAGAGGTGCCTGCCAGGGCAGGGAGAGGCCTGGGCCCCATCAGCTTGTTGGATCTGAGGCCACTGGCCACTGGGGGGTCAGGCCTGGGGCACAGGGAGTGCAACAGCTCCCTATGAAGACAGTTCTGGCCCGGAAGCACTGGCCCTGACCACAGAAAACACAGTGGCCAGGTTGTTTTGTCTTTCATGGGGTCTTCCCTGGGGAACTCCCAGAGTGAAGCCAAGAATGCCTCACAGAGGTCCATGGGAACCATCCAGGCCCCAAAAGAGGTCGGCAGATCAAGCAACAGGTATGGTCTTTGCAAGGGCTGGCTGCTGGGAGGGCAAGGACACCCAGAACATCCACCTCAGGACACCCATAGAATCACAAGAAAGTCTGGAGGAGGATGGTCGCTGTTGTAAATGTCCTTGCAGAACATTTCCTGGTCCTTTCTGTCTCCTCAATAGCATAATTACCCCCAGTATCTGCTTATCTCCCTGTGGATGGACCCAGATTGCATAGAGCCTAGAATGTTCACCTGAGCTCGTCAAAGCCTAAATCCCCTCTAATCTTACAGAAGTCTTCTTTCTCAGCCAAACTTCCTCTCGCCTCTAATGGGATGTCTCTGGGATGAGAGGTCACCTTGTAAAATCCCACAGCCTCACAGGAGTAGTACCCTCCTGATCAGCCAGCAGTTGAGGGTGGATGGGCAAATTGATGGGCAGCCACAGCGGTGGGCAGGGCCGTAGAGGGAGCCCACTGCCCAGCCAGTGACTCAGCTGAGGAGGAATGGAAGCTGCTGCCCAGGAGGGGTGGGGGCCAGGCAGGCCACCCAGCCAAGCCACCGGAGCCTCGGCCTGTGGAGTGGAAAGAATAACAGAAGGCGGGCAGCAGTCTGTATAGGGGTGACGCCAAGGTGTGTACTTTATACTCGGGTAAGGAGGGGGTCCGAAGAGGGTGCTGCCGCCAGCAAAGCCACCTGGCTTCCCCTTCACCCAGGGGGTCCTCACTCATCCCTTCTGGTCATACAGGGTTGGCCAAGCATCCCCCTTCCCTACCTGCACACGTCTCTGTCACCATGTGTGTACCCTCCTACTTAAACTCTTCCACAGACTCCCAACCAATGTACTGGCAGAGTAGAGATCAACTGGCCGCCCGGTTGCTTACCATCTTCCAGCCCCCCCCCCAAATCCTCTCAGGAAGCTGAGAGCCACTAGCGAAGGACTTCTCAAGGTCATAGAGTAGATAGAGTAACTTCTACACCCTATGGTAGGATCCTCCAGCCTCTGCCTCACATCAATCTTTTGGGCTTGGGGAGGCCAAGATGACTACAAGAACTGTCATCAGGGCTCAGGGCCAGAAAAGACTCCAGCTGAGCCTCCCCTCTCCCCACCAAGGCCACAGTTGCTAGCAGGGTGAGGGGGCCATCAGTGGAGACAGACACAGAAAGGAAGGAACACAGGAAGCAGAAGCCCCCACACTCACCCAGCCTGCTTCCTTGCAGCAAGGGCAAGCAGAGGGAGGCATCCGCACCCAGACACTCTGGCAGCTGGCCTGGGCTTCCTCCCCCACTGACCTTCAAAGAGATCCACTCCTACTACCAGCCTCCTCCACAGCCCCTGGGCCCACTTGCTGGGGATACCTTAATTTCTGGATGAAGGACTTCATCTAGCAGGACAAAGGTTTTTGTCCCCTTTGTCTGGCTATGCTACCTACCTATCCATGGACCCCTGAATCAGCTTCTACCCTGGGCCAAGTCTGGATCCATGTGGGCATGTCTATGGCTACAGCCTGTGTAATGAGACAGAGGCATCCAGAGCCTAATGAGGTGTGGCTGGCCTCCCCCATGATTCTACTACCAGGGACCACTCTGGGCTCTGCCCATCTAGGGGGCAGGGAACCTACTCTTGCATCTTTCTGACTCTAGGGAGTCTTGGGTCCCCTGTTTGGTACACTGAAGTCTAAGTGTCCAGACCCAGCCCCATCTACAAAAGCACAGAGAAAAATGGGGCTGGAGAGCTGAGGCTTCCAGATGTGCTGCCTTCTTTTTCGTCTCTTACAGCTTCTTGTCCTTACCTCCTCAACCAGACTCCATCCACCCTTTCTGGGCAGTAGGCCAGCCACTCTGTACAATCTGTCAGCTAGGACCCTCTGCCCCAGGTTGGAAGGTTCCAAAGGAAGAGGCAGGGAGGGGGTGTGAGGCCTGGGTTCCACAGGTGATGCAATCAGATGAGGGGTGACTCTGGAGCCCTCCAGGCAGTCCCACCCCTGCTAGTCCTAGACCACCAGGGCAGCCAGGGCCAACATGTGGAGTGCATGCAGCCTGTGAGGAGACCTCTCCCACACATCTGGTTAGACCTCCGCGAGAAGCAGTAGTCACCCACCTTAATGGAAACAGTGACTCTTCTAGTTCTCAGCCAGCCAGCCACCTGGGCCCCACTCCTAATGAGGCTGGGGCATGGCCCTCACTGTAACGGGAGCTGCATTACCCTCATCATGGCCATAAGGTGCCCTCCAGGCTTTTGCATTCTCAAAACTGACCTATCTCTTCAGGGCAATTTGGGCGTTCAGGAACATGGCCCCTGAGTATTCAAATCTTGTCCTTCCTATCACGTTCTACTTTCTGCTTCTTAGTACCAGTGAAGTTCTGTAAATGGGATTATGGATCACACTTTAGGGTGATGCGAGAAGGATCCTACCCACATGGCCACTACAAAGCAAGCACACTTAACAGAAACTCCTTCTGGATTTTGTTTCTGGAGCCTGGGTCAATATGTACTAGCCTCTGACCTGCTCTATCCCTAAGAGCCAGAAGGCTCGGAGCCCAGGAAAGGGGGACTTCAGAGTCCCAGTGCATGCCCTGCTTCCCACCTCATCAGAATTCTTTTTTCCTGTCCTATGCCTCCCCGGGCACTGCTCGTCTGACCTTTCCCCGTGCCTGCAGGTGGACAATGTGGACTCAAACCTTGGCCTTTCCCACTTGGCTCCTGGAAGCCAGAGGGTAACCCTGGAAGAGGGTGTGAGTGTAAGCTTCCCCGGTACCAGCCAAACTCAGAGGCCTGTGTGCGCCCCTGGGCCTCACACTTGGGTCCTAGTCAAGCTCTCTTCCTTCCTCTTCCTCTTAGCAACTCGCCCCAACCCCAGCTTCCTGCACTCCCAGCAGGCAGGTTCTGGTAGTGGTGCAGGCTGTGATGACTTTGGGAGTTCAAATCTCATTCTAAATCTGAGATGCCTCTGCATGGAGCCTCTGGAGGGAAGTAAGGACGCTTGGAGCTGGGCTCCCAAGGGTCTCGGCTCTCTTTTTCTTAGCTCTTCATAAAGGAGCGTGCAAAGAAGCTGTGATGGAGTCTAAAGGGGGAAACCCTGCCTCAGCCCCTCCCCCATTTGCGAGTTGTGGTTAACTGCTTCCAGCATCCAGTCAGGCCTTCAGAAGCCCTTCTGTAGAATTCTTGAGAAACCTGCACATCTTCCTTTAATTTTTTTTTTCCTCTCTTGTGCCTGCCAAGGAGAACGACCCTTACAGGACGGTTCAGACAACATCAAAACCCAGAGGCTGCATCCATGATTGTCCCACTACTACCCAGACCACCTAACAGTGGGGCTGCTGGAAAGGGTCATGATCCCCGCGGTTCGCCTCTCCCCCACCCCTCGTTCCACAGCTCCTCCCCGACGCAAGAGGCCTTCTTTTTTTTTTCTTTTTAGGTTCCAAACCTGAACGAATCCTCTGACCCAATGGAAAAAACAGAGTGAAGGAGCCTTGCAGCCTCCCTTCTGGCGGCTTCCAGCCCAAGGCCGGCGCCCCGCCCGCCAGCCGGCAGGCTCAGCCTTCGGGTTACTGCAGTTCAAACAGCACGTGCCGCCCGCGCTCCCAGCCCAGCGGTGGCGGCTGCGCAGCTGGAGGGGGCGGGGAGGCGTGCTGCTTGCGCGCTGCTCGCCTGCTGCGCGTCTCTGCTCTAGCTCGGGAAATCCACTGGATAAACACCCACTTTCTCTTCCTCTTTCTGGAAGCTGGATGCGCTTTGAACCTTAGCGCACCTAAACTGCGCTCCCACCCCTTGTCCTCCCCACCACCGGTCTGCGTACCTACCAGGGCAGGGGCCCCAAACCCACCAACTGATTCCCCAGGCTAGGCCAGGAGATCGCTGCCCACAGACTACCTCCAGCCCCGCAACACACGACAGAGACGCCTTGCAGGCAACCTGTGGCTGCTAGGCCAGGTTTGGTTTTAGCATGATCGGTTTTGGGTGCTTTCCTGGGGGAAACTTTGAGAAATGGGGGTTGAGGAGTGTGTGTGTGTGGGGGGGGTGGACCCGCCCGCCCCGCCCTCTTCCTTTTCCAGTAGATTGGTGCATTGAGTAACCGCATCTATCATTGCAGACCCCACACATACAAGCTTAGTCCAGACCATATTCAGGCAGGCCCATTAACCCCAGTGGTGCCCACCGCGCAGTGGGCCAGTAAAGGGTGCATCAAAAGGAGGCCCGAGCCTAGTTCTGATTCGAGCAGGAAACGTCTAGGCAGAGGAGCTCAGATTTCTGCGCTCCTTGCCGGTGGAACATAGTCCTAGGGCAAGGATCTGAGCTCTTACCTTGCGCTTGTTGCGGTGGATGTCGCCAATGGAATTAGCCACCGTGTTGGGGCCCAGCAGCACGCGTGCGCTCCGCGGCCATTCGGTGCTCACAAGCTGGTGTTCTCCCAGGAGAATCTTGCGCACGTTCTCTGCGCCAGTCACACGAATTAGCGGCCGCCCCAGCAAGTGTGTCTTGAAAACATTGCCGTACTTCTCCCGGCGCGAAGACTGGAAGCCAGAACCCTGCGGGAATACACAGAAGCCTCTCAGGGCTCACAGAGGACCTTGCATCCAGCCCCACCCGAGGCACCGCCATCCGGTTCCTGTCATGCCCCAACATCTAACACACGCGCACACACACACACACACACACACACACACACACACACACACTTACGGGTTTTATTTTTCACGGCGTGCATTAGGACTGGGAAGTGGGGCCTGGAGGGTAATAAATAATGCGGGAGGACGAAGATCTAGGGGCACCCACGGAAGGCTGCTTTTAGTAATGGCTTTGGGTGGGGAGGGGGCTATCCCCGACGGCTGGACCCGAAGCTGGAGCCTGATCCCCCACCCCTGCGCGGCGAAGCCTCTCGGAATAAATATTTCCAGGCTCCAGGCCACGGGCTGGCGAGACCCCGCGGGGTGGCCGCAGGCCAAAGATTATTTATAGCGGCGAGTTGTGCGTGCCCGGAGGCTGTCCCCAGAGATGGGGGTTGGAGTTTCCTCTCTGCTCCGGTGTGGCCCTCCGTGGGCTCCGCAGGGTGGAGTCTTGGGCCCAGAGCCACGACTCTCCTGGAGCATTTGTCCTGGGAATAACTGGGACGGACTTTCGTCACCGCCCTGAAGTTCGGAACGGAAGCCCCAGGAAGGTGCTTCTGAGAGGCGGTGGGATGGGACGCGGTGACCCGCGCAGGTAACCGGATCTCGGGGCCCGGGCCAGGCTGGCGCTCCGCAGCTAGTGTCCCGTGGTGCCGGAAACCTTCAACGCATTCGCCACCCAGCCCGCCTTAACCCTTCTCCCGCCAGGGTGCACCGAGTGCCAAGGGGTGGAGAGCCACCTGTCCAGCCTCTCCCGCCGGCCTTCAGGACAGAACTGTGGCCGTGGCTCCCGCCTTTGGGTCGTGGTCTCCCAGGAACACTTCGGCTCCCTCCACCGAGAGATAGAAAGCTCCCCTTTTCTAGGCTGACCGCCCCCTTCTCACTTTCCTTTCTCCCAGGGAAACTGAACTCCAGCTAGAAGTGAACACGCCCCAGATGCGAAAAGTGGCTACAGAACCCAGATTCCTAATGGCTTTTCCACATGCTCCTGGGCCCGGCGCGCGACAGGGAGGCGAGGCGGGATCCCCCGCGCCACCTGGAGGAGCGGAGTCGGGGACGCCCCCATCCAGACGCCGTTTTAGACGGCGCCGGCTCCTTTAAGAGCAGTCGGGCGGAGGTGGGGTGCGGCAGAGGGGGGCGCAGAGCGGGGTTCGCGTCCTCGTCTGCCGCGCAGTCTCCCTCGGCCGGTCTCACTCCGTCTCTGCTCTCCCGTCTTTGCCTCTGTTTTTCTTTTCTTTCGACACAAAAGTTGGGTTGTGAATTTTCCGAGGTCGCCGCCGCCTCGCCGCCCCCCCACCCCCGCCTCTGATCTGCCTAACTATAATTAAAGTGCGTTTTTTGTGGCTTTAATAAAGAGTTATTTGTCCGCAGTTTCCACGGCCTTCACAAAGAGGACTTTCATTGGGGCGGCCATTCGGGCCGCGAGTCCAATTTATACAAAAATGTATTTTTAGCCCTGGGCTCTGTTTAGATGGTGCTTAGTGGAAACCGAGAGCCCTTGGAGGTCCCCCGTAAAATCTGATAAATTACTCAGAAAAAACCCACCGGATTCGGAGGGTTCACTTTAACCCCTTAAGCAACCCGGGTCCCTCCTCCCGGGGAATCTGACCCCCAGGGGCGCCGATGCCCTCGCGAAGGATGCTTCTGTGCTGGCTGTACCACACCCGTAGGGGCCCTTGTGGGATTGAGAAAAAGGGCAAGGGACATGGGGGAGGGGCAGATCAGGAAACAGGATGGGAACGATGATGCCGAGGCTTTGCCTTAAATAGGCCGGAGTCCTTGCCCACTTGAGTTATTTTATTTTATAAATTCCCGGCTAAAGCCCGGACCACCGCCACAATTAACCCTTTAAACGTGGAGACAATAAAGAGGCAAAAGAGATGTTTGTCTCTAAGGATTGTCCTATTGGTTGAAGTGAACCCCACACGATTGGACAAGCACCCCACCCCCAAAGAGAAGGTCCGACTGTGATGCATGGAGAGATCCCGGGAAAGGAATATCTCTCAAGCCCCTCCATACTGGCCCCTCTCTTGTCACTCGGCTCCCGACTGGGCACAGTGGTGTGTGTGTGTGTGTGTGTGTGTGTGCGCGCGCGCGCGCGCGCGCGCTCACGAGCACTGACTGCACGCGTCTATTAATTTCAAGCCAAGCTTTCGCACGTCTAAACCCATAGGTCCGCGCGTGTGCGCTCATCTTTCATTTTGAGGAGTTGGGGTTGTCTGTTTAGGGATATTCCGGCTGCCTCTAACGTCTGGGATCACCGCCCGACAAACTCACCTCCCACTGTTACCCCCAGAGGTGCACCCCCTTCTCCAAAGAAAAAATATCCTGGGGTATATCAAATTGCAAAAGCGATTGTCTAGCACTGGATGAGGTTAACTCCAGGTTAATCTGCCTGCTACTTACCTGGGTCTGGTCCTCAACGAGCCTGGCCCCAATTGTCATCAGAGTGGAGTTTTGAGGCGTCCAGTTGCATACGCACACTCTGAATTTCTAACATACCTCTCCCAGTTTCCCTCTGCTAAACTGTCCCCACCCAATAAGCAAACAGACCCTTTTCCCCGAAAGCTGAGAGCTCTCAGCTCTCTTGCCTCGAACTTTCCTTAGGTTACCCTGTTTCCTCTCCCACCACAACACACAGACACAGACGTGCGCGTGCGCGCATACACACACACACACACACACACACACACACACACGTACGTTGTGAGTAGCACCTTGTACCAGCCCAATTGTACCTGAGCCGGATACACTGCAGAATGCTGTCCAGGTCTTACCATTCCAAGCTGCCACCGGCCCTCTCCTCTTTTACCTCTCAGCGTCTAGGTAGCTACCCAGGACGCTAACCCAGACTAGGGCTCAGAGACAGAGGTGAAAGCTAAGCGACGCCCCTCCAGACTTGTTCCGCAGACCTTTCCGCGCATCCCTGCTTGGGTGTCGGAAACCCAGGCGCATCACATTTGGGAGCCCTCTCTGCTCACCCATCCCTCCACCGTCACCAGCCCTCTGAACTAGCTCGCGGGGAGCCCGAGGACTCCGAGCCGAGCTGCAGGCGAGCTGGGGAAACCCAGGCGGCGCCGATTGAGGCAGAGAAGGGGCGGGGCGGGGACCAGTTCGTCCGAGTGTCCGAGCTACCGGCGCCCCCTGGCCGGGCACCCGTGGCAAGCGGACTCTAGGAGCAGCTGAGCGAGAGTGCGCTTACCTGTAGCAACCAGTGTCCGGTCTCTCCGATGAGCGGGAATCCCATAGAGCCCTTGGGGATGGGCAGCTTGCAGCTCTTGTCGCGGGTAGCAGCCCAGCGTAGCTGCCACAGCTGCTGCGACACCGCCAACAGCAGCGTCACGGACACCAGGCACGCGGCGAGGGTGGCCAGCGCCGACACCAGCTCCAAGCCCTCAAAGAGCATGTTGGCGGCCGCTCGGGGGATTGGCTGTGCGGGCCGCGAAGGGGGAGGGGAGGGCCGGACCAGAGTGACGGGGGAGGGGAGGCTGCAGCCGGGGGTCCTGGCACCCCTAGGCGAAACCCAGGAGATGGGGCCAAGAGAAGGGGTCTGGAGTCTGCGAGGTGGCCGAAGAGAGGGAGGAAAAAGATTTCCTGGAAGAAGAGAGAAGACACGAGGCGACTCTAGGTGTAACTTTGTTTGTTTGTTTGTTTGTCCCTTTACGCGGGCTTAGGGCTGCTCTGGGGAGGTGAGGTGGAGCTCAGTCAAGCTAGCGAGCTTGCCCTCCCCTCAACCATCACACTAGAAAAACTTTGGAAAACTTTATCCACCAGGAGCCTCTCGGAAGCCCCTTCCAAGCTCAAAGCGAGGTGGGCAAAAAAATAAGGAGAACCGAGAGTTAGCGGAAATTGCGATCAATTTATCAAAACTATTCCTCCGAAATTCCTAGGTGCATAAAAAGGGGGGGGGGGAATCGGGATCCAAAAATTCCAACGAACCCAGAAACTTTGGGGGCTTGGGAAAAGGCTCCCCGGATGAGGCGAGTGTAGAGGCTGGAGCGGCCGCGGCACCCGGAGGAGGGCGAGGCGGGCGCGTTGGCCTGAGCCCGAGTGCGGAGTCGGCGGGGCCGCAGCCGGGAAGGGACGAAGCCGGCGACAGAGCCCCGGGCGGGCGCTGGGGCGGCGGCGGGAGGGAGGGGTGAGGCGGGGTGGGGTTGGGGGAGGAGGTGGAAAACCCGAGCCCGGCTATCTATCAATTAAGAAAAGGCAGTCTGTCCCGGGACGCAGTCTCTCGGCTCTGGAGTTGCTGTTGGGGGAAAGAAAAGAGAGGAGGGGGAAAAAAAGAAAGAAAGAACGGGCAAAAGGGGATAAAAGAGGGGAAAGCAGAAGGCAGGACTTCAGGGCTGGTGGTTTGAAAAGCGTCTCTCAATCTGATTTGATCCAAGGCAAGGCGATGCGTGTGTTTATATAGAGGCGGGAGGCGCGCCGTGGGCACACAGCCAGCACCCCCCCTGGGCGCGCTCACAAAGCGGGAGGCGTGGTGAGAGGCCGGCCGGCTGCCGAGCGTGTGAGCTCCCGCCGGCCTCCCGCCCAGCCGCCCCGCCCGCCGCCCGCCGGGGACCCACTTGTAGGCGCCTCAGGATCAAACTCAGTTCACCTCGCGCCTTCTTTTCCTTCTCGCCCGCGTCTTGCACCGAGTCCAGCACCTACAGACGGATGAGATGATACACACGCCCAGCGCGCGTGCACATACATTCGCGCTCGCGCGAACACACACACACACACACACACACACACACACAACCAGACACACCGGCGCGCACGGTGCGCACTGTCATGGTGCTCATTTGGCTACAAAACTACTTCGCTCCCGCTTTTTCTCCCTCCTGGGTCCTGGAACCGTCCTCCAGCTTCCACCCCTCGATTGGGGGTTGCCAGAGTCTCTACTGGTATTTCATCCCGCAGACAGCAAGTACCACGTAGGTGTCATTCCCTTCCAATTGCCTCTAGAAGGGTCCTCAGTTGTCTAGGTCCACTTGTTTCTTACCTTACAAGCCCTAGAGGGTCACCGGTTTGTCCGGAGCTACTGATGCTGAACTCTCCAACACCTCAGAGGACACCCCCATCTCTCTCTCTCTCACACACACAACACACACACACACACACACACAGAGAGAGAGAGAGAGAGAGAGAGAGAGAGAGAGAGAGAGAGAGAGAGAGGCACGCACGCACAAGGTAGTTACAAGTCACAGCCTACATTGCCCTAATTAACTGCAATACTGGTCCCGGAAAATGTCCAGCGCCTGAGACAAATGCAGTGGCCCCTACAACCCGGAGGCATGCATGTATGAATGCTTGAATAAGTAAACATGTCTGTGAGCATAGCCACAGAGAACCCAGAGCGTGTGCCTGTCTGAGGTGTGATTGTGGCTCCAGATCGCACCTGCATGTGCTCCCTCCTGGCGTCGGCCCGACCTTGGTGGAGAAAAGTGAGGTTAGGGGTCTCTGCAGAGCCATATTGGGTCTGGGCACCCATGGATCTGCCTATTATATGGCCTCTCCTTAGAGCCTGGGACCGAGATGTGCACACCAGCCCCGACATCTGCTTAAGTAGTGCGTGGCTCTCCCTGTCCAGTGCCTCGGGGTTTCCCCCAGTCCTCTTGTCTTCTCGTTCCACGGAGCAAATAATAATAATAAATCATTCTAGACACCCCAACTGTGGTTTGGGGTGCTGGGCTTGCAAAGAAAATTAACCCACCCTACCTTGTTAATAGTTCCTTGCATCAACAGTACTGGGTCTGCTTTAGAGTTCACTAACAGAAAATGCGCGCCAGAGTGTCTAAGATGCGCGCCTATGTTGCTGGAGGCATGAAGGGCTCTTCCAGCCAGGCTCAGGCTGCTAGCGCAAGGTCAGCTCACGCTCACTCTCTGCCCTGGAACCCCACCTGGTGGATGCTTATAGTACTACATCTGCAGGGGACATAATCCAGCTTCCCTTCCCTAATTGTCTTTTCCTAGTGGAACACCAGCTCCAAACAGCCAATTTGAAGGCATTCCTAGGGGTTCCGTTTAAGAACCCTCTAGGCTGTCCATTCCCACAGAACAGTTGGGCTTGGACATTAGGTTAGTTCTGTCAGGACCACTGTAGCCCCAGAAATAAAGAGCTGAGGGACATTTTACTTAATAGGACGGCTTGGCAGAGTTTGGTTGGAGAAGTAGTTTGGGGAGGGGGGTCCTGTTGTCTTGAGGCACCCTAAGAATGTGACCAGGTTCCCAGAAGTACTGCCTTCCATTTTGCCTGATGAAACAGGATGAAACAGGAAGACCCACCACAGGGCCATCTACCTGTGGACAGAGGGACACAAACACGGGCGGACAGAGGTATACAAGGAGGCGGCATGCAAATAGGTACTGAACCTGTACACAGGTATGCACATGAGATCCTATCCACAGCCAGGAGGGCTCCCTTTTTAAGCCACCAAATCCAAACCACAGGACCCACCCACTCTGGGGCCAAAAGTCTACTCTTTCCAGCACGTCCGCCTACTCTTTCTTTCGCTTTGGGGACCCTTTTGCCCCTCTCTGCCTGGCCTTTCTTCCCTTTCAAATGTGATGTGGAGGAGGGAACATGGAGGGAATTCTGACTCCTTACTGCTGAGCTGCCAAGTGAGGTCCTGGAGAGGGTCCACAGGGACACACAGCCCCGTAGCAAGAGCTGCAGCATTTCCTAATGGGAAGCATTTCTCTTCAAGTCCCAGTGAGCACTGAGGAGAGGGGCTGAAATGCAAGCAGTAATGCACAGGGCTTCTTGGAGGTGCTGCAGGTGGATCAGAGCGCTGTCTCTGAGGACTTGCAAGGAGGCTAGCTGTGCATAGGGAGGCCGAGCGCCACCTTTGCTGGCCACACTCGAAGGAGAGAAAATTTGTTGGTACCCTGGGTGGACTGCTGATACACATGCAAGCCTGTCCTAAAACAAACCTTTGAGCATATTAACCCCGAACCCTGGTCACTGAGACTGTCTTTGACCACAGGCTGAGTCTCTGAACAGACAAGCACTTCCAGGTGCACCTTAGGCCATAGAGTATAGCCATTGCCTTCCAGACTGTCCCTAAGCTGGGATTCTACCCATAGGTCTCCTGGGGGCAGGTCAGGGCTCTCGGTCAGAATACTTCTGTCATCCAGAACTTGAAATGATCTTCTTGTCCCCAGATGTCCCCTGCATGTTCCCAATGCAGGCCAGTGTGGCTAATCTCAGTGACACTCACACAACCCTTTCCACAGTCCAGGGCAGTGCAGGGGAGCCTGGATTCAGGGAGTGTCCCTAGAGCACCCCAGCCAGAGCAGACTAGGAGCTCAGTCAGGAGACACTGGCTCAAGGGGAGTTTTGCCTAGGTGACATTTTCAAGGCTTGGTAGATGGGCCTGAGACAATAGGAAGGGTTAGCCTCAGGAACCGTGGAGGTCTGAAGAGAAGGTACAAGGCAAGCTCCTCTAGGGCTCAAGAAGTCCCTGCACAGGCACAGATCTGTCTCAAGGCCTGCTCCTCAGGACACAGAGCTACCAGGATGGCTGCATCTCCTCAGCTCTGTACACGCAAAGTAGTGAGGACAGTGCCCTTCCACACCCTTCTCGGTACATTCCCGGCCTCCAACAGCTCACGTCCACACTTTACAAACGGCACTGCAAGGCAGCACTGTCTTCTACAGGGATTTGCATACTCCTGTGATGAGAAAGCTGCCCACTATTGAATAGAGGACACCCTCCATTTTATATTCAATTTGCATAATTTAGGCCCTGACCTTTTTTCTATCTGGTGCTACAATTTCTTCACCCCAAAACTTCTCATTTCTCTAACCAGAGATGAGTAAAACTGGGAACAAAAGGAGCTTGAGGACAAAGAGTTCAGGCAATGGTGGGTGGAAAGCATGCCTGGGCACTTAAGAACCAACAGGGTTTGCCTAGTATCTCCCAGCTGTCTGTGGACAGTTTAGCTGGAAGGATAAAACTGGTAATTCCACCCCAGAGTTCTCCCTGCCAGCCCTGCTAGCCCCAAGGAGCCCTTGGAAAGCTCACCTCACACTCCCCTTTCTTCAGTCCAGGGTCTCAGGCTGGCTCTGTTCCTGTTCTAAGGTCCTTCCTCACCCTGCTTAAAAGGACCCTGGTCCCTTGCCTGTAAAAGAATGGGAAAACAGGTCTTGCCCACAACCCTTTGCAAAGCTTAGGTGGGAACTATAATCCCCGCAGATAAGAAGTGACCCCTCCGCTGCCCTAGATTCCTGCCTTTGCCTCTTTGTTCCTCTCTGCGCCTTTGCCCACCTTCCTGCTTCTCTGTGCCCTCCCTGAGAATAGGCTCTGCAAGGCCAGTGGTAGCCCTCTGGTGCACAAAAACTCAAGGACAGCTTAGAGGACACTCGATGAGTGTGCCCTTGCTCTTGAGAAAAGGGCTGGACCCCTGTTGTCCAAGCTACTATAAAAATCACCCCCAGTGCTAGAGACTGCCTCTCTCCTGAGATCCTGAAGAACTAAGGGTTCCATTCCCCAGCATGGCTTCCGGCCGTGTGGCTATGCAGAGAACTCAAGATCCCTTCAAAACTACCACCCATCTGAACCCCACCAGCTCCCGGACTCTTTAGAGGTGCCATCCTGTTGATCGCTGCTACCAAGCCTGAGGTGCATTCAGTTTTGGCCGATTTACCCCTCAGGCCTCTCTGTCCCTTACGGACATTTGCCTCCACCCTGCATCCACACCTTTAGCTATTTTCTCGACTTTTTTTCTTTTTCTTTTTTAATAAGTAACAATCTATGTGCAAAAGGTTCAACCTGGCAGAGGCCTGACTCCTCACTTCCGACTCCACAGACAAGCCCTGCTAGAAGGAGCCCCTCACCCACACATCTATAATAGCCCTCTGCGAAAGAACTTTCTCTTCCTTGGTAGGTAGCAAA